AAAATCCAGCATCACCTGAGCTCTGTGAGTGCAGCTTTCTCCCGATTGAAGTGTAGAGTGTTTGAGGACTGGAACATTCACAGGGAAACCAAAATGCCTGTTTACAAAGCTATTGTACTACTAGCCTTACTGTATGCTTGTGAAACATGGTCCACTTATAAACACCATCTTCAACTCCTTGACAGATTCAATCAACAGTGTCTCTGAAAAATTGTACACATCACTTGGGAAGACAGGCAAACTAAGGCTGTGTATTGGAAGAAGCAAAGATCACCATTGCTGAAGCAATGATTCTTCAACATCAAGTTCGTTGGACTGATCATGTTGTGCAGATGCCTGATTATCGTCTTCCAAAGCGACTACTCTATTCTGAACTAAAAAATGGAAAGCGTAATGCCGGTGGTCAACAAAAGAGGTCTAAAGACTCTCTCAAGGCAAATCTAAAAAAATGTAGTATAAACATTGACAACTGAGAAACACTGGCCTGTGAGCGCTCCAGTTGGAGAACAGCCTTTACCAAAGGTGTCATGGGCTTTGAAGACACTCAAACTCAGGAGAAAAGGGAGAAACGTGCTAAGAGAAAGGCATGCTTGGTAAACCCTTACCGTGATCAACTCCCACCCAGAAACCTACCGTACTTTTCTGTCTATAAGATGCCCCCTTGTGTAAGATCCCCCCATTTTGGGGGGCTAAATTTTAAGAAAATGAGGGAAGATGGCCCAAAGTTGTTGAGCCTCTCTCCTCTTGCAGTTGCAGGGAGGAAACAATCCCTAGATCGTTTCCTGTGCGCAGCAGCATTGGATGAATTTGCCCTTCCTCCAGCCATCCGATTTGCAGGAGCGCAACCTCCCCTGATGCCGCCACGCATGGGAAACGATCCAGGGAGTGCTTCCTGTGCACAGTGGCATCGAGTGAATTTGTGCTCCAGCCAAAGAGCTGGCTTACGGTACGCAGCTTCTCCCCCCCCCCCAGCTGTGGGCAGGAAGCACCCCCCAGATCACTCCCTGCTTGCTGCGGCATCTGGGGAAGCCGTGCTCCCACCAACCGAATGGCTGGCGGCGCAGCACTTCTCTCCTCGCCCCCCGCCATGCTACTATTTGTGTATTGGACAACCCCAGTTTTTTGACGTGATTTTTGAGTCAGAAAACCTCGCCCAATACACGGGGAATACGGTATGTCCCCACTGTGAAAGGACGTGTGGATCCAGAATAGGCCTCCACAGTCACTTACAGACTCACAGTTTTTTGTTGTTTTTTTAAAAAATATATTTTTGTTAAATTTTAAGGATCACTTTGAGTTCCGACAGTTTTCGAGGAAGTTCAAGTCTCCTGCGACTACTTTATCTGTCCTTTTTGAATGTTTGGCAATCTGCTCTAGGAGGACATCATCCAAGCCTTCAGTCTGACTCCACAATCTATAGCAGACACCCACAATAAGGTCACTGTTATTTCTCTCTTCTACAATTTTGCCTAGATTGATCTTTGATTGATTCTTCCTTGTTTAATCTATCACTCATGTCATGTCATGGTTACAGAATCCCTGCTGCCTGCAGATTAAATGAAAAGCAGATTTGCAGCTACGACAGCATACTAAAGACATGGTATTTACTGTACGATCCTCTGGGTGACTATGTACGAAGGCTTCATGTGAATATGAATCAGCATGGCAAACAATCCTGCTGAATAGTATAGGAAAGTCCTTTGCAATAAGTTAATTGTCTACCAGAACCAACTTCTGGCACCTACTCATAATGTAGGTAGGGAGTCACTTCATCTCCATGTCAGCCAGCGTAAACCTACACAGAGAGATGAAAAGGAAATATGGTTGATAATACTGATAGCCATGGAAAGGCCCTAAGAAGATAGCTGGGCCTCCCTACCTTTGTCCTTCTCCCAGTGCTAGCAATTCAACCAGGAGGAAGAGGCACTTTCAATCCACAAAGCAACCCAGAAACCAGATTTAGAAGGATAAAGGAAACCCGTGCCATCCCGAGAAGGCCTGTAGCTGGTGCGCACTACCTTAAATCAATATAGCAAATTGTAATCTGATCTATAATATGTGAGGTCAGATGAAAGAGGTGTAATAACATAATAAAAGCCTCTTTCAATTGTGGAAGTGCCACTTCACAGTAAAGCAGTAATCATAGGCAAATCAAAATAATCTTATTGACACTGATTGAACCATGAAGGGGAATGAGTCAAGCACATATGATGGGCACGAGTCCCTATGCCAGAGATTAATGAGGGTTTCAATGGCATAGCTGAATACGTCAGCCAGGCACTTACAAGGGCAGGTCTTAGCTACCCATACCCATGTAAATCAGCTTGGGCTTGAAGATGGCCTTAGAAGCTCCAAGGCTTAGATGTTCTGCTCTCTAGTCTACACCACTAAGGTCAATCAGATTCATGAGTTTCAGTGACAAATGACCTTTTCAGTGGTGGCCCTCCACTTGAACGCTGCTTGACTTACTTTCTTGCTACCCTTAAACAGTCCTTGAAAACTGTTTTATCCCAGTAAACTTTAATAATAATAATAATTTATTTGTACCCTGCCCATCTGGCTGGGTTTCCCCAGCCACTCTGAGGGCTTCCAACGAAGATTAAAAATACATTAAAATGCCAGACATTAGAAGCTTCCCTAAACAGGGCTGCCTTCAGATGTCTTCTAAATGTCAGGTAGTTGTTTATCTCTTTGACATCTGGTGGGAGGACATCCCACAGGGCGGGCGCCACTGCTGAGAAGGCCCTCTGCCTGGTTCCCTGTAACTTCACTTCTCACAGTGAGGGAACAGCCAGAAGGCCCTCGGCGCTGGACCTCAGTGTCCAGGCAGAACGATGAGGGTGGAGATGCTCCTTCAGGTATAATCAGTTTCATTCCCTTTATAAGGTTTTATTCTGATGCTGCTCTTCAATTTGTGTTTCTTCACTTGTTTTATTTTCAACGTTTTTAGAGGCTGCCCAGAATCAGAAACTCTATCAAGGTTCCTGATTGTAAGTGTTAGGACATTTTTCTGGGTGCTGAAACAGAGCAGATCCACTTTTTGTGTGGAAATTACATACAAGTTAATGAAGGCATTAGAACACACATAATTAAAACAGAAGATAAAAGACAATTGCACTTTTAACAATTACAGTTATAGCTTATTTCTTTCAAGAAAATTCCAGTCCTTCAGGTTTTCTTCAAGCCTTCATCTTTCTCCTTGTTGCACACCCCCAGTCACAGTTCTGCATTCCAGCAACTTACCCAGTCCCCACCCATTGTAGGATGCAAGTTGGCGAATTTCCAACATATTTGCACCAGAGGGCAATCCTCAGTACCAGAGCTGCATAACACAAAGGCCTGGCTCATTATTTTCTTTGTGCTTTCAAACACAGACTCAGTTATCAGAACAATTCCTAAAAATGTCATTAAGAAAGGACAAATCAACAGCATTTCAAGAAGCAATGACAAAACTTTCAAGAAGGATCTGTACACAGGCCCAAATCAGCACACAATATAACCGTTAACTGCCCTGTTTCTTCCTTGGCAGCCACAGAAACTGCTTAGCAACCATGCTTTCACACTGTGTCCCACCAAAACCCAATTTTTCCAAGCAGGGCAACGTGATGTTATTGAAGACAAGACCTTCTTCTCTGTCTTTCCAACGCCAATAAAACACAATGGGTGGAAGGGTGAAAAAAGTTTATTTGATCCTGCAGAATACAGACTTGAAAGGATGTTTCCCAAAGACTGAGTGCTGACCTTTAAAGCCCTAAACAGCTTTGGTCCTGTATACCTGAAGGCGCGTCTCCACTCCCACCGTTCTACCCGGACACTGAGGTTCAGCACTGATGGCCTTCTGGCAGTTCCCTCACTGCGAGAGTGAAGTTACAGGGAACCAAGCAGAGGGCCTTCTCAGTAGTGGTGCCCACCCTGTGGAACACCCTCCCACCAGATGTCAAAGAAATAAACAACTATATGACATTTAGAAGACATCTGAAGGCAGCCCTGTTTAGGGAAGCTTTTAATGACTGATGTTTTAATGTAATTTTAACCTTCTGTTGGAAGCCCCCCAGAGTGGCTGGGGAAACCCAGCCAGATGGGTGGGGTAGAAATAATAAATGATTATATTATTATTATGAACACACAAAATACAAAAGCATTTATACTATCCTAGCAAGTACACAAAAGCATCGTTTTTTCTGTTGGAACAGTGTTGAAGCAATGATTCTTCGACATCAACTTTGTTGGACTGGTCATGTTGTGCGGATGCTAAAACCCTGTTTTGGAAGACAACCTTACTCGGCTACGAGTGATTGCCAAAGAAGAAGAAGATTGGCTGAGAATATGCATGGACAAAGCATGCCTAAGCCAGTTATTCTCACAATTGGCTATAGAGTGGTTGCTATATTTTAGCTCAAGGTATGTCCCCGGACTTCCCTTATCTTGAGCTTGGGCTGGGAATAACCAGCCTTGCGGTTGAGACTGTCAGAAAATGATTGCTCGGACTCAGCAGCCCAGCAGGCTGTGTGTGATGTGTTTGCTTCAGGGTTATGGTGCTCAGTGGCAAAGGCACGTAGCTTCTGGGGCAGCCCAACAAGTGCCACCACTATTTTGTGCAATGGACGGCAAGAAGAGAGAGGCGCTGGATTTTGGCGTTACAGTGCGCCACTGAAATTTGTGCTTATGCAACTCAAAAGGACTGAAAGGGAAAGGGAGAGGGACTGGCAAGGAAAGCAGTCAGGCTCACTGCTGGCTGAAGTGAACCTCTGACAAGGAGTAGGTGGAAAGCGGCGGCAGCTGGACAGGGAATTACAGGAGCTTATCCTGACTGCAGTCCATCCCTCCTTCTCTCACCTCATATGGCCCTGGCTACTCTCGCTGAGCTGCTTCTCTCATCGCTGCTGTGCACCTCTCTCTGTATTCAGTAGCTCTTGCAAGTAACGCTTACACCCAGGTATCAATGGAACATTTTCAGAACAAATGTAGGAATGTGTTGTGTGTGTGTTTTGTTTTTTCAGATCAGAAGGGTACTGTGCCCTGTTGTAACAATTCGGGACTGCACATCTCATGCAGGCGCATGATGACCCACTTTTAAAGTATCCCAAGCCTCTTTGATGATGCTACAAAAAGATTAACAGGGCAACATCTCTGGAAATTAATGACGTAGTACCTAATTGTTCACAAGTGTGGATTTAAGATACAGTGGAACCTCGGTTTTCAAACGTTTTGGAACTTGAATGGCGTAAACCCAGGTAAACCCGGAAATAAATGCTTCCGTTTTCGAACGTGCCTCGGGAGTCGAGCTTCCAAGGAGGCTTCTGTATGGAGTTTTCTGTATTAATTTTTCTTTTTGAGGCTTCTGTATTGAGTTTTTGGTTTTCAAATGTTTTGGAAGTTGAACAGTCTTCTGGAACAGATTATGTTAGAAAACCGAGGTTCCACTGTACTAGAAAACACAATGGAAGACGATTTTCCTTGATTTTTATTAACCTCCTTTTTGCTTTCCTCTTTGCAAAGGGCTTGGAGAACTTTTAACATGCCTCCAGAATAAGGCCATTGCTGACTTCTCACGCACACCATGGCCTGCCAAAACGAAGCAGAAGCAGAGAGAGAAAGAATGCAAACTGCCATAAGTCTCACCTTTCCCCAGGGATGCCATTTCCGTGAGAGTTAGGCCCTCCCATCCCTGTGAATAGTTAGGGAAAACATGAGTGGATTCCACGTGACCTGTGTATCATGTGGATGAGAATGGTTATCTCCTTCCAGGATGTAAGGGCAGTCTGTCAGCCAGGCTTCTCTTCCTCCTGAGCTGCTTTACCTGTGTAGGTGGGGGAAATGCCACTGTAAAGCAGTGAAGAGGAAAAGGAAATATTGGGGCGACCTGTTACCTGGAAAAGAGCTTCCTAGATGCTTCTCCCCAGTCCCTAGCAACAGCTTTACTTCTGCTTTAACCTACAAGTTTCCCTATCTCCCTGCCTGACCAGTGCATTTTCTATACTTAGTATGCATAGAAATTGGGCTTTTAGTACCGCAGCTCCAGCTGTCTGGAATAAGTTGCCATCCGAAATCAGAAAAGCACCTAGTATTTTGATATTTAGGCACCTTATTTAAAAAGGCTAATGCATGTAACCCTATCATTTTACTCAATAACAACTGTATGATTTTAGAAATGGTTTTATAGGGTGGTATACAAGCAAGTTTTACTCAGAAATGGCCCATTCAAATTAAGGGCCCCAAGTCAGTCATGTCTATTAATTTCAATGGTTCTACTCTGAGTAAAACTGAATTGAATATCCAGGGCCAACTCCATAGGGTGGCAAGTTGGGGACATTTGCCAGGGACCCAAGGCCAAGAGAAGACCCAGAGGTCTAACAATGTTTTATTTAAACTTTATTTATTTAATATTTTCCCCCTCAAACCAGAATTCTTCGTGCTTGTCCTCAACACACTGCTTTCAAAGTAGGGTTATTCTAGATCCTGCCATCTACAAGCCTAGGGGTGGCTACTTAATATGTGAAAACTCTCCTCATGATTATGTTTTATTTGAGAAAAATATTTAAGAAAAATATTTGTACAACGGTATTCATAAAAGTGAGTTTACAGCAAACATCCACATATACAGTAAGAACTATGTAAAAATGTAACATTGGAGATCAATTTTAAAAAGCCCCCTCCCCAGCAGTGATACAGACGTAGAATAGAATGTCCCTATTTTTATCTGAGGAATGTTGGAGGATATGGTACACAGTCCCCAAAAGCTCCACCACCGCACCATGCAGTTGTCCACATAACTTTGTCTTGTGGTTCCACTAAGCTTTAGCTCAAGAAGATCAACAGCTACTTTGGGGCTCAAATCAGTAATTCGGTCTTTGTGGAACCCTTAATTTCCTCTTTGATCTCCCTCCACCTGATGATGTGAGGTTCGCAGAAACCCTGCTGCATGTGGATTTAATGAGAAGAAGAGAAAATGAAAAAAAAGAGAGATGAGGGTGAAGAGGAAAAAAAAAATAAAGCAAAAGAAGAGCAATGCATTTAACAGAGTAAATAAAACTCTCACAGCATTCCCAGCAAAACATAGATTCAGATTTTCTTGTACTTCATTATAGCAATACTGTACAGCCTTCATCCCCCTGCCCAGGAGAGGCTGCGCACAGCTATCCCATAAGCCAAGACAGCAAGAGGCTATCCCAGAAGGCAGATCCCTCTTGCTGTTCTGGCATCTGGGATTCAGAATATTTTTTTTCTTGTTTTCCTCCTCCAAAAACTAGGTGCATCTTATGGTCTGGTGCGTCTTATAGAGCGAAAAATACGGTAATTAAAAAGGTTACTTTTTCAACAAAGCAATCATATTCTTACATAGCCCCACTACCCCGAATCAGATTTGTCATTTTAGCATTTATGCTATATTCCCTAACTCTATTCAATAAAGTCCTCTATATTTTTTGCCCCAGTTGTGGGCAATGGTTATTATGGCTTCACTTAATAAATAAGGGTCATCTCTCCATCATTTGTCAATACTACTATCTTAATTTAGCTGAAAAGAAGGCCCACTTAGTAGTATATTTCCTTGATAACATCAGGTCAGAATGTTGTTATTTGGGGACATTTCCGAAAGATATGTAGTGTCTTGACAGAGGCATTTTACACCTCTAACAAAAGCTATCAACTGTTGAGTATATGCAATTAATACACTTTGGTATTAAATGCCTTCTAAAGATAAATTTCTAGAAACTTTCCTTAAGGCTTATGGTGTCTTGTGGTGCATTCAACCATACCCGGATGTACAGAGTTTGACTTTATGTTGAGATCCGTAGAGACACCATTGATCCTTTGCTGAAGAGGTTCGCTAATCTTTCAGACAACTTAATTCTCTCCTCTTAGGCAAAGATCACAAGACGTCCTGGTTGGTAGCCAGATTCTGCGCCCAGATTTATAGGCACAGATCATCCTCTAAAATAAAATAGTTTACTAGGGAAATGCTGAAGTAGCCCTTTGGGGTGCCTCAAGGTCAATTTTTTATGGTAGCCCAAATCTCAGTTGTACAGGTGTATGTATATATCTCAATTTATTTATTTTTAACTCATGACTTAAGTATTTCCTTCTCAGATATCATACAGTACCAGAAAGGGTTGTGGTTTTTTAAAAAACAAGGCCTTAATCTGCTCAAGAATTAAAGGTGTACCCAAGTGAAACCATTTTTTGAAGTGAGTCTTGTAATATCTAGTAACTGAAGGAAAAAATAGTCCACCCTTTTGTTTTATTACACAGAGTCTTGGATTCTGTTTCAAGTCTTTTCTATTGTCAAGTAAAGTCTACAAAAATATTTTCACAATCATCAAGGGTTTTATAGTGAACCCCCAGCGAAGAATTCATTTAAGAACACAATTGTTTTTGAAGCAGATATTTTTCTGTGCCGCAATTGTTTACCCGTGACTACTGATGTAATAGCCAATAATAATTTCTCATGGTTGTGTGCCAGGGACTTTCTGGATGAAGAGGAGTGGTTGGAGGCACCAGCCAGGGAACACCTTAGAGAAGCAGCAGAGGAGGAAGACTCAGAGCCAGGATTGTGGTGGTGGGACTCTGAAGACACGTCAGAGGAGGAGGGAGTCTGGGAGGCAGAAGAAGCAACAGGCTCAAGGGAAAAAGAAGAGCCAGAGGAAGAAAATCCTTCAAAGGCAGGGCAGGGTGCAGAGGAAGGCACCTCAGGTCTGGGACCTCAAAGAGAAGAGGAAAAAGCTGCAACCGAAAAGCTGAAACAGCTTCTCAGCAGCTACCTGGTCCCACCTCCTCCCTTGACTCCAGTGTCATGCAGGTCTTTGCATGTAGCTGAACAGAAGGCTCAGAAAGCCCAAGGGGGACCCTTCCCACCAGAGTTTATGCCTGCTTGGGAAACATCCAGAGGAGGGGCTTTAGGAGGAAGCAGGAGGGGCCAAGTCTTGGCAACAACGCCACTGAGGGCAGCCATGCCTGTGGGCATTCTGCTTATATACTATTTTCTTGAATAAAAAACTGACTTATGAGTCTCCAAGTCTCCGTTCTATCCACTCACCTGAGACTCTGGATGGGCAGCCACTGTCACATGGCACGGCCATGGTGGGTTCAGGAAGGCTGCCATCTTCTGGTGCAGCCAAGGGAGGGAATGGCTGGCACTGCTCACCTCTGGCTGCATCGGGCCCTCAGGTAAGGGCGGGCATTGCCTGCTCAGCCAATTGAGGTCTGGGGCTTGGGGGCTGCAAGCATTTAAGGGGGTTGGCCAGGTGTTGGCCGCCCTGTTAGCCAATCATTCTGGGATTTCCCCAGCCACCCAGTCCTTAGGGGCCTGCCTGAGGGGGAAGCGGGCACGTTATCTATGGACCTTGCTATGGTCAGCATATTTGGGGCCAGGGAGGAATTTAATCCTGCAAGCAAACTGACCAGCTTGTAGGTTTTCACAACTTTGGCAAAAAAAGGGATTGGGTTGCACCCTTAGTCAGAGGGGTACCTAGGTAGGGGGGTCCAGGAGGGGTGACTCTGGGAGACCAATGGACCAAAACACCTCTCCCAATGGCAGCCTGTGTGGGATTGTGCCATTCAATTCACGTTGGGGGTGACTCCCCAACACAAGTTACTATCAGATAGAAGGCGGGCTGCCTGATGCAGGATACGTGCCCAGTGCCTTAGCCAAACCTACTCTTTCCTGCAGTCAATCACGTTGTGGCCTAATACAACCCAATACCTGTCTCCTGTGTCATTATTGTGGCCCTCCCTTCACCTGCCACTGCCATTATGCACCTGCCAATGACCCTGCTCTGGCATTGTGTTTGGAGAGGTTTGCTAGGTCTTGAGTCATCCATACTGCATTAATCAACAAGCTTTACCTGTGTGCCATATTTGTAGGCTAATTCACATCAGATATCATAGTATAATTATTATATTCCCAGGTTTCTTATCTATCTGATGCTACCAACTTATTATTCTTCAAGTGCACACTGTTTGGTTTCTGCTGCATAGAAGGAAATGCTTCCTTATTTATCCATGTGAAGGATGTTGGTTCATGAGCTGCATAAAGTGCAAGTTCAGTACCAGGCACCACCTGCACCAACAGTAATGGATTCCCCCAGAGAATAATAGGAAGTGTAGTTTCTTCAGGGTGTTGAGTTGTTTAAAAGGTAAGGGTAAAGGACCCCTGACAGTTAAGTCCAGTCGCGAACGACTCTGGGGTTGCGGCGCTCATCTCACTTTACTGGCCGAGGGAGCCAACGTTTGTCCGCAGACAGTTTTTCCGGGTCATGTGACCAGCAAGACTAAGCCGCTTCTGACGAAACCAGAGCAGCGCACGGAAACGCCGTTTACCTTCCCGCCAGAGCGGTACTTATTTATCTACTTGCACTTTGATGTGCTTTCGAATTGCTGGGTTGGCAGGAGCTGGGACCGAGCAACGGGAGCTCACTCCGTCATGGGGCTTTGAACTGCGACCTTCTGATCGGCAAGCCCTAGGCTCAGTGGTTTAGACCACAGTGCCAACCGCGGTCCTTTGAGTTGTTAGAGTTTCCCTATTCCCCTCACAGAGTTATAATTCCCAGAGAGTTTTAACAATCTATCAATTTTCCCCAGGGAACTCTAGAAATTAAAAGTTATGTTTACAATTAAATTAAAAGTTATGTTTACAATTAAATTAAAAGTTCTGTTTAAAAGCAGAAAAGATGCACTTATTTATTCACTCCTCCTTCACAAAGATGTGGTATATATGTTGCTACAAAGGTTGGAGGCCAAGTCCCCCAATCTCTGCTGAGCAAAGGCAAGATTCCAGCATGTCAGAGCTGGTTCTGTTGCAGGTCAGCACAGAGACTCAGGGATGAGCAGTGAAGTTGATTCTTTATTCAAGGAAACAGAATACAAACAGAAAACCTACAGGCAAGACCAACCCCAGTAAAGCAGTTGACAATCTGTGCCTCCTATTTTCCCCTAAGTCTCCCCTTTGGTTGGATGTTTTCCCAGCAGTCTTAAACTCTGTCAGGGACGGGGGGCCCTGTGCTCTCTGTGCTATTGGCCCTGCTACATGCAAGGCCCTCCATGTCACTGGAGAAAACGGAGGAAGGGAATGGAATACAGTAGGATCGGCAGGCTCCTGTGAAGCTGTCACAGCCTTTGTCCCCTCATCGTCCTCCTCAGCTTCCTGACCTATGTCTGCAGTGCTTTCTGCCTCTTCTTCCTCTCTCTCACTCAAGCCTGTTGCTTGCTCAGCATCCAACTATTCTGCTGCCCTTTCATCCTCTGACCTGTCCCACCACCACTCCCTTGACTCTAAGCCTGCCTCTTCTGAGGCTTCCCTAGGGGGTTCTCCAGCTAGATCCTCCCACCACTCCTCATCATCCAGCCACAAGGGTTCCAGACACCCACCCAGGGTCATGTTTCTGTTGGGAGTTGAGACATGGCAGAGGCTATAGTGTTTTAAGATTATGGCTTATTTTACACATATATACAACCTTTAGTATTCAGTGGAGGGGCACACAGCAGCAGCAGCCCAGAACGTGCCTCCTTTTTGCTCTGCTGCCTATCTTGGTCTCCAGGGCACATGAAATCAAGATTCCTTCTCCGCTTCCTGAAACCATCCCTCCTCATTCTGATGTTCCTAAATAACTAATACCCAGTTCTTTTGAAGAACAGTTGTACCTTAGTTCTCAAATGCCTTGGTACTCATACGTTTCGGCTCCCGAATGCCACAAACCAGGGAGTAAGTGTTCTGGTTTGCGAATGTTTTTTGAAAGCTGATCGTCCAACACAGCTTCTGCTTGACTGCAGGAAGCTCCTGCAGCCACCTGGAAGCTGTTCCTTGGTTTTTGAATGGTTTCAGGAGTTGAATGGACTCCCGGAATGGATTAAGTTTGAGAACCAAGGTACCACTGTACTAATGGTTAATTGCCAACACACCCAAGAAGACTCAAGACCAGAAAGGTGGCTAACTGGTTATATTTATTAAAATATAACAACTATAGAATTTGCAATCGGAATAATTCAGCCAAATTAACCAAAACCAATGAGGTCCAGGAGGTGAATGGATTGAAGGAAGGATTTAATCTCTCCCATCTTTCTGAGCTAGCTGCCAGCTGCTCAAGGCCCTTGGAAACTCCTCTCTGTTTATTGCATGCTCCCTGTTTATTTGGTATCTGAACCTGTCTTGCACAACGTGGCCCCATTGGTGAGCATTGACCCAGATGCGCCTGAGAGGCCTGAACACCACGCTGGCTCCAATATTAGTCAGATATTATCCAAAATCCACTCACCCACCTGGAGCTAAATTCTAACAAAACACCACTCCAGTCACACAGATGACACTCAATGATATGAAGTAGGCAAAAAAGATGTTACACAGGCCAATTAGTGTCACCCCCCCCCCATATATATATACCGTACATATATATACTCAGTCCCCTCAAAGAAGTCAACAGCAGAGCCCACACTAGAAAATGAGAAGAGGTGAGTGTGCAGTATGGTACGAAGTGGGCTTAAATAGTCTGATCTCCATTTCTCCCCTTTAGGGCAAATCACCCCATTTGGTTGCCCATATTACCCATGTGGGAGAGTCCGTCTCTCCTCTTCTTGCAGGAGATGAGGGTGTGGCAAATGTTGCAGCAAGAAGGAGAGACCCCCTGGCTTCTTCAGCAGCCTCCTTCATCTCTGCCTCTTGACCCTCCTCCTTTCCAGCCTCTGATTCTGGACTGCTCCCTGCCACAGACCCCTTCTGTTGTCTCTTCAGCTGCTGACACCTCCTCCTCCCCGTCTGCTCCCTTTTCTTCCTCTGCCCACTCATTGTCACCCTACCACCAATCCCCTGACTCTCAGCCTTCTTTCCTTGGGGATTCCTTCAGGGGTTCCCCAGCTGGTGCCTCCCACCACTCCTCTGCTTCCAGCCAGTCCATGACAGGAAAGATCTCAGCGATTTATGCTGAGATCTCAGTCAAAAATCACCTAGATCTCAATGAAAATCTTATCCAAAATCATTGTCTATGCCAGCATTACTTCTCTGCCACTGGCATGGGGATGCCAACACAGGGGCTTCCACCATCTGAGGAAACGGCTTCACCCCATTTCCTGTGCCAGACCTGCCTGTATGCATGGTTTGGAAAATCAAGGCTATATGACAGATACCTCAGACTTCTCTGAGCATTTGAAAGATGAAGCAGAGAAATCCATGGAAATAAAAAAGAAAGAAAGAAAATGTTCACATAACCATGATGCTACCAATTTAAATGACTTTAAAGGGATATTAGACAAGTTTGTGAAGGATAGGCTACTAATGGACATCGTTCATGATGATTCTCTTCCATTTCCAGGAGGGATCACAAACCTTTTTAGGCCCATGGACACCTTGGGAATTTGGGATTAGTCGCGGGGGTCAGCAACCTTTTCCAGCCGTGGGCTGATCCACCGTCCCTCAGACCATGTGGTGGGCCAGACTATATTTTTTTGGGGGGGGGGATGAATGAATTCCTATGCCCCACAAATAACCCCAGAGATGCATTTTAAATAAAAGCACACATTCTACTCATGTAAAAACATGCTGATTCCCGGACCATCCGCAGGCCGGATTGGGAAGACGATTGGGATGCATCCAGCCCCCGGGCCTTAGGTTGCCTACCCCTGCCTATGAGCACCATGCACTTGGCTCCCAGATGAGCCCCACCACCACCAAAGGAGAAGGAGAGAAGGAGAATGTGCCCATACACACTTTGCTTTTCCAAAGTTGGATCCAGTACACGTGGAGCAGAAAGAAGATGTGGGAAAACATGCCCATGTCCCAGCTTCCTCCTTTAGCTCTATGTACTTTTCAAGGGAGAAAAATAGGGAACCACCTCGTGAACAAGGAGGCAGCAAGTGGGTGGGTGGGGGGTCAGGCTTCCCATTGCACCCTTGGACAATGCCAGATTTCCAGGATCAGATGCTGCAAATACTGGAGAACAATAGTGGGTGAGGGATATTGCCTTCATGTCATGCCTGAGGGCTTCCCATGGGCACTTGCACTCAATAGGACTGATTGGTCTGATCCAGCAGGGCTTTTCTCACATACTTTTTTAATTTCATGAATGTCTGGTATGCATTTCCCCGAATGTTTGTGGCACAAATCAGTCTTACACTTCCTAGAATTCTAATTGCAATTCATATTAAACACCCCCCCCCTGACATTTGAGTGACACACATAAGAATGATTATAGAGTCCGGCTGTGGTGCGTGCCACAAGGTCTCATTACAGGGCTATTTGATGGGATGTCAGAACCTTTGTTGCTTAATTGCTTTTAGTAATGGAGTATATAAAAAGAGAGAGAAATGCCGAGGTCTCTGAAGAATCAAAAAGCTCTTGGAGAAGGAGAGTTGAACCTAACCAGGCATCCTAGAAAGAAACAAGGTGAAAGAGACAGCAAGAGAAGGATGGAGATACGGGCATTTTTGATTGCTGTGCTGGTGGTTCTTCTGATTCTGCACTTCCTGAAACAACTCTGGTCACGCAGGCAATATCCTCCAGGACCTTTTCCGCTTCCTATCATTGGAAGTTTGTGGAAATCTGGGGCGAAGCTTCGTGAAGATACTTTCATTAAGGTACTTCTTAGTAATAACTCAGTCTAATGTCAATAATTGTTTTATTCAATTTTCCCCAACAATTCTGGTATTTAAGCTTAAACAGTACCATGGGTTTAAATGCTAACTGCAAGGGCCACAATTTAATACACAATTAAATGCGATGAAAGTCCTACACTTAAAAATCATTGAATTAAATTTAAAACTGAATTTAATTAAAAATCATCCAAGGTTCCATTGCAAAAGTAACTTAATTCCTTTTCAAGTCACCCAGAATTTTTACAAACCACTTTCAGGTGTAATAAGGGCAAGTAAAAGTAACTAACAAATTTAATAAACAAACAAACAAAACAAAACAAAATCAATTCAGAGATTTTGGAATTAATTCTGTGAATCTGTTAATCTGAATTAGTTCATTCCTGCCACTGCTGCTGTGTTATATAGGCCATACACAGGGAGACCTAGCAGCTGCCATGCAGATAAAAGTTTGATAGAATGATGATGGAAGAAGAGGAGGATTTGGGGCTCTCAAATTTCAGTGGCTCCCTGTGCAGCGCTAAAATTTGGCGCTGCCCACTCACCACTTGCTCTCCATTATACAGTGGTACCTTGGGTTAAGTACTTAATTTGTTCCGGAGGTCCGTTCTTAACCTGAAGCACTACTTTAGCTAATGGGGCCTCCTGCTGCCACCGCGCTGCCGGAGCACGATTTCTGTTCTCATTCTGAAGCAAAGTTCTTAACCCGAGGTACTATTTCTGGGTTAGCAGAGTCTGTAACCTGAAGCGTATGTAACCTGAAGCGTATGTAACCCGAGGTACCACTGTACATCATTGTTGTGGTGCCCCCTGAGGCACTGGCACCCAGTGTGGCCGAACTGGTCATGCTACCCTAAAACCGCCTCTGATGGTTATTCTGCATGACTATCCCCTCTGATTGTAAATAATCCAGGGTAGTTGTGCAGAACCTTTGGCCCTCCAGCCACTGCAGAACACAACTCCCATCTTCCATGGCCTCCAGCCGTGCTTGCCGGGGCTGATGGAAATTGTACTTTATCAACTTCTGGTGGGGGCCATACTTAATGTAGTGGGTTTTGTAAGCAAGAAGAGGGGCAAAGCACCAAGGACAATTGAACACAGCCAAGACAAGCTCTGTTGGTTCTTGTGCTGAACTGTTTATTTAGCCCAACTGTATGTTTGGCTGGATGCATTTTAGAGATAAACTTCCTTTGTTTCCTAGAGCAAATCATTCCTTTGTCAGAAGCTATCCGCAATACAAATAATAGTAATAATAATTAATAATACTGAAAACCACAAAACCGTATAAAAGATGAAAATGTGCATTCAAAAATCACAAATAAAAAATGTAAGTTGTATACTGTTACACTGAGAAAGCGCATTACACTTATGATTATGACCAACCAGAGATTTAACATGAAAATCTTTGCCCCCATTTTTCAAGCCTTTTGGAGCTATCACTTCTGGTGCATATGCACATCATATCTAAACCGCACAGTACCAAACGGATACATGTAAGAAAAGGCATTAAAAAATGACAGGGAACGTAGGTCCACAGCCTTCATTCATGGCAACCTTTCAACAGATACTAACCTGCATATGCTATTCAATTTCTTAAGCCTTGGAAAATCTTCATATTGGTCACTCAAACTAGAAACGCTTTTAATAAAAGAGCAAATCATTCTTAATGGATCTCGGCAGTAAACACTAATCTCCAGGTAATAATCTCACCAAGAGCACCTCCTCCTTCTTCTTCCATCACCTGTAGCCAAGTAAGTTTGTCATCCATGGCATTAGTTTGCCTGTCTTCCCAAGTGATGTGTAAAATTGTTTTGAGACACCGTTGATGGAGTCTTTCGAGGAATTGGAGATGGCATTTATAAGTGATTCATGTTTCACAAGCATGCAGTAAGGTTGGTAGTACAATAGCTTTGTAAACAAGCATTTTGATTTCCCTGCGAATGTCCTGGTCCTTAAACACTCTACACATTAGCCGGGAGAAAGCTGCACTCACAGAGCTCAGGCGATGGTGGACTTTGGCATCAATGTCAGCCCTTGTGGAAAGATAATTGCCCAGGTAGGAGAAGTGATGAACATTTTCCAACATTGCACCATTGAGTTGGACTTGTGGCGCTGCAGAGGGGTTGTTGGCGCAGCATTATTTTTTTTTGGTTTTTGGATGTTGAGCGATAGGCCAAGATTTTCGTAAGCTTCTGTGAAGATATTTAGGATGGTTTGGAGGTCATCCTCTGTGTGTGTACACAGCATACTGAAGCTCTATGACAGAAGTTACGGTAACCTTACTCTTTGCTTTCAGCCTACTCAGATTGGTTGGAGGTTGGATGGCAGCTAACAGATTGAGATTGAATCCTGACAAGACAGAAGTACTGTTTTTGGAGGGCAGGGGGCGAGCAGGTGTGGGGGACTCCCTGGTCCTGAATGGGGTAACTGTGCCCCTGAAGGACCAGGTGCGCAGCCTGGGAGTCATTTTGGACTAACAGCTTTCCATGGAGGTGCAGGTCAATTCTTTGTCCAGGGCAGCTGTCTCCTATCTCCATCTGGTACGCAGGCTGAGGCCCTACCTGCCTGCAGACTGTCTCACCAGAGTGGTGCATGCTCTAGTTATCTCCTGCTTGGACTACTGCAATGCACTCTACATAGGGCTACCTTTGAAGGTGACCCAGAAACTACAACCAATCCAGAATGCAGCAGCCAGACTGGCAACTGGGAGTGGCAGCTGAGACCATATTGCACCAGACCTTAAAGACCTACATTGGTTCCCAGTACGTTTCCAAGCACAATTCAAAGTTTTGGTGCTGACCTTTAAAGCCCTAAATGGCCTTGGCCCAGTATACCTGAAGGAGCACCTCCACCCTCCTCGTTCAGCCTCCACTGAGGTCCAGCACCCAGGGCACCGAGGGTGTGTGTGCAAAACTGAGAAGATCCTTAACTGAGAAGGTCTATTTGGGGGTGTCAAATTTTGTTCTCGCCCAGAGCATCCTATTACAAACTTTGCCCTTGACTGCCACTGTGAAACAAATGGCACTGGGACAGGAAGTTCACAGGCTGATCTTGCTACCATTTACAATTCAACACTTGCCATATAGAAAATGCAGCAACTTTTTGTCAGGTTGCTGATTTCACTTACCCATGCCCTAATTATTCTAATATAACTGACCTTGTTTACATGGTTTTGTGCTTTTCAATATTAATAAGAACCTTGTTCTTTTACATTAGTTTTAATATTATTACTGTGTGCCTTGCTTGTAGCTGCTGGATTAAGGAGGCTTATCTCTGAAACAGATCTTGCGAAACAAAAGCTGAGCTAATCAAACAGCTTATTACGATAAGCTCTGGAATTTGTCTTCCTTCTCTTCCATTGTATTCTGCCTATGACCTAGAATGCTGGGAACCTCCCCCCTTCCAACAGATTAATGGGCACAATGTTCTCTTGGCAATGAAGTAGGAGCTCATCATCTCTTTCCAAGAAAATGAAGGAGCTTGTCACTCACATGTGGCTATTATTAGTCATTAAATTTATAAATATCACCCTTAATCCACAGCTCAGGGCAGTTCACAACCTAATAATAATAATAATAATAATAATAATAATAATAATAAATAATTTTATTATTTATACCCCACCCATCTGGCTAGGTATCCCCAGCCACTCTGGGTGGCTTCCAGCAGAATATAAAAACATAATACAACGTCTAATGTTAAAAACTTCCCAATACAAGGCTGCCTTCAGGTGTTTTCTATAAGTTAGAATACAACATGCCTGTTGTCTTTGTCCATGGAGTTTTCTTGGCAGGGATACTGGAGTGGCCTGCCGGTTCCTGCTCCATATTGAGGGCACAAGGAGAAGGGGATGGCAGAGGACGAGATGGTTGGAAAGTGTTCTTGAAGCTACCAGCATGAGTTTGACCAAACTGTAGGAGGCAGTGGAAGACAGGAGTGCCTGGTGTGCTCTGGTCCATGGGGTCACGAAGAGTCGGACATGACTAAACGACTAAACAACAACAACAGAATACAACATACATAAAACACACAATAAAAACAAGAACAAAAAACTAACAAACCAGTAACCCTTCCCACAAACAAATTTTGAGAAGGTATAAGAGGCTAATCAGCAAGAGGTCTGGTTGAAGAGCAACAGTTTCGTCTTAAACACCTAAAAGTGTATAATGAAGGCATCAGCTGAACCTCCCTTGGGAGAACATTCCACAAAAAGGAGAGACTACAGAAAATGCCAGTTTTTGTGTTGCCATCCCCTGGACCTCTTGTAGAGAAAGCACACAAAGATGAGCCCCAGATGATGATTGCAGGGTCCTGATCAGATCATATGGGGAGAGGCAGTCCTTGAGGTATTGAGATCCTAAGCTTTGTAGATCAAAACCAATACTTTTAATTGGGCCCAGAAACTAATTGGCAGCCAATGCAGTCAGAGCAGAATCAGTGTAATATGCTCAAGCAGTCTTCTCCTGATGAGCAACCTGGCCACTGAATTCTGCACTATCTGAAATTTCTGAACCATTGTTAGATGCAGCCCTATGTATAACACATTGCAGCAATCTAAGCAATAGAAAATCAAAACAGCTAGTTTTCCATTGCCTTCTGCGCAAGAATTCATTCCTTATCAGTCTATATTTTCTTTTATTTATTTGTTTATTTAATCCATTTATAAGCCATTTTTTTTTCAGAGAAAACAATTCAAAGAATACAAGACTACTCAGCCTTCAGATAAGAACATAACTTTTAAAACATCTGAAATTGGTAATAATCTCTAGCCCAGAGATATATTTGGGAGACCTCTTTTTAATTCCTTACCATATATTTGTCTGGTGGCGATGCTCCTGCTGTGACCCACCGTGGGTCAGAAACCTGACCCAGTGCTCTAGCCCAGCTTATGCCAACCTGGTGCCCTCCAGACTACAATGCCCATCTGCTCCAACCATCATAGCCAATGGGCAGGGAGTTGCAGTTCTGCAGTCACTGGTGGGCTCCAGTTTCCACATTCCTGCACAAAATGTGCAAGAGAGAGTAAAACAAATGGGTTGGGAAGGAAGGAAGGAAGGAAGGAAGGAAGGAAGGGAGGGAGATGCTGGCAAAAGAAGCTGTGAGAAGCTGTAGAGGTAAGGAAGGCTGGAGCTCATGTGTTAAGTTGAAATACTTAACTGTTTACTTTGAACATAACGTTCCTCTCCTCTCTTTTGACCCAAATGGTAGATTGCAAAGCAATATGGAAACGTTTACACCATGTGGACGGGACATATACCCATTGTAGTCCTGTCTGGATTCCAAGCAGTGAAAGAAGCTCTCATTGACCACTCTGAACAATTTGACGAGCGGCCAGTGTCGTCTTTCTTTAGCACAAAAGGAAAGGGTGAGTAGTGAAGAATGAGACAATCTACTGGCATTTCCCCCAGAGAAAAATTTAAATGACTGTCTGGATAAACAAAGCTTCTCTATTAACTGCAGGAAATGGGTTGTTGGAGCCAATGCTAGTCCTACAGTAGACCCATTGTAATTAATGTGCATGGCTAATGAAGGTCTATTAATTTCCTTGAGTCTTCTGTGAGTAAAACTTACCAATCCTCTAGCAAGTGTTTTATGGATAGCCTAACTACTGCCATTCATGCACTAGTAATCTCCAGGTTGGATTACTGCAATGTTTGTTATTTGGGGCTGCCCTTGCGATTAATCCAGAAGCTGCAGCTGATGAATAATGCAATGGGTCAACTGCTCATGGGGGCAGGAACAGCCAACATGTTACGCCACTGTTGAAAGAATTCCACTGGCTGCCAATTAGCTACTGGGTTTATTTTATTTTATTTATTAAATTTATATACCGCCCTTCATCAAAAAATATTGGGATGGCTCACAGAATAATTTCATGATGTTGGTTTTGGTGTATAAAGGCATATACAACTTGAGATCAAGATACTCAAAAGATCATCACATTCCTTATATACCTAGTCAATAACCAGATTCTGTGGGTGAGGGCCTCCTGCAGATACCATCAAAGAAGGCCCATTCCACACAATGTAGGCATGGGACCCTTAGTGTTGTGGTCCCTACCCTTTGGAATTCCCACCCTTTGAATAGTAGACAGGTGTCCCCCCTGTTGTCTTTTCGGCACTTTCCAAAGACCTTCCCCTTCCAAGAAGCATTTGAGAACTTTCCCAGTCTGCATCTGTATTTGAATTTTTTATAATATTTATTGTTGTTGTGTTGCTTGTTGTTTGCAGTTTTGGAATTCCTTTGGGAGAAAGAATGGGGTATAAACACACTAATCAATGATTTAAAAAGTCATTAAATTTATGATGATGAGGGGCTTCAAGAGCAAATCTTACTGGCTTGAAATCAGCAGGGTGCCAGATGACAGGTGCAGGAGTTGGAAACTAATGAGAGGCAAGAGCAGGGAAACTGAGGGGAGTATTTAAGAGGCATATAGGTATATGTGTATAGCATAGTAACAGCTAAGCGATATTGTACCACATACAAGAATTCAAGTACATGTGGAAGGAGTATAGAGAGCAGCTGAGTTTGGTGGTACTGAACAATAATCCTACGTAGGGTAGACCCAGTGGGCAGTCACCATCATCGTCACTTATTAATTTATCAATTGCCTTCTGCATGAATGTCTCACAGCAACTTACAGATATATAAAAACAGCTAAAATGGTTTTAAAACAGTGCAGAAACAACAACTAAATAAGAGTCAAAAACAATACAAAATATACACCCGTTGAAGAGACCTTGAGCAAGGAAAGCAGATTGAGACTATATGGGTAAAAACTGTATGCGAGAGAAACATCAGTGACCTTACTGTGGGACTCTGCTATAGACTGCCAAACCAGACTGAAGACTTAGATGCTGCCTCCCTAGAACAGAATACCAAACATTCAAAAAAGGAGACTTCAATTAACCTGATATCTGTTGGAACTCAAACTCTGTCAAGAATGTAAGGTCCGGCAAATTCCTCCATTGCCTCGCTGGCAATTTCATTTCCCAGAAGTCAAAGACAAAAACCCCCATTATATTCTTGCAAGGAAGTTGCTAAAATGTGGGATGAATGAGGTACTTGTTAGGTGGATTTGTAGCTGGATAACTGACAGAACCCAAATTCATTAATAGTTCCTCATCACTTTGGAAAGGAGTACAAGGGGGTGCTGCAAGGTTCTGACCTGGGCATGTTGTTGTTCAATGTCTTTATAAATGACTTGGATGGAGGAATTGAGAGGATGCTCATCAAATTTGCAGATGACACCAAACTGGGACACCAAACTGTGGCTAATGCCACAGAAGGAGTTCAGTTTATCTTTATCAACACTGGTTGTTTGTGCAACAAAGACTGAATTTGCAAGTATCACCTGAGCTTTCCATAATTTTAAACGCTAGACAAAATCCCCCATTGTAGATATCACATATCTGGAGATCTCACATTTTTCTGATACTGTAAAGTGCAGGGACTTCTGGGACCACCTGATTTCTGTTCTGTTATCACACAATAATGAATAATGAATTTCTGAATGACGAAAGGCAATAGAAAGTGAGGTTCTGTTATGCCAATATCGTAGAGATACCCATATAATACTCTGAGACGGGTTCTGTATCATCTTCTAATTCTTTGCTTCAGAGAGACCAAGTAGTTATTAAATTCAAGGACATGAACTTCAGTGAACATAGTTTCTTCCAGGCTGGCAACTTAATTATTTACATTAATTTCTGTAAATAATAATTTCTCAATGATTTCCCATAGGTATTATATTATCAAATGGTCACATCTGGAAGCAACAGAGACGGCTTGGAGTGGTTACTATGCGGAAGCTGGGACTGGGGAAGAAAGGCATGGAGCACCAAATAGCAGAGGAGGCCCGTCAGCTTGTGGAGGTCATTGCAAGTTCAAAGGGTACATGATCCTAGGTGATGGTGATGGGTTTCCTTATTTTCCAGTCTGCAGAAATCTATGTGTACTGCCTCTGTCCATTTTGGAAAGGAATGTAATATGCTTTAGAATCACAGAATAGTAGACTTGGAAGGGACCCAGAGAGTCATCTAGTCCAATCCCCAGCAATACAGGAATCTTGACCACAGCTGTCCCTGGGTGGACTTGAACCACCAACCTTCTGGGAGACACACTGCCCCATTGTGCTGGAGATCACAGCAGGTTTCTCTTGACCATCATAAAATCCCACTCTCAGCATGAACAGGAGCAACTGAACTCACATTAGTATGACTTTATTTTGCAGGACAACCACTTGACCCCTCCATGCCCATCACTAATTCAGTTTCCAACGTGATATGTGCTGTGGCTTTTGGGTACCGGTTTGCTCTTGAAGATGAAAGATTCCGGAAGCTGATAGAAGCCATGGATCTTGTCCTAAAATTTCAAGGCAGCATCCAGCATTCTGTGAGTAGACATTTTCATTCCTACTGAGGCAGAGAGGTCTCCCAAGGATCTTAGGGCCCCCATTCAGCATTCTGGAATCCATTCTGATAGAGGATAGAGTGTTGGAGAAGATAGATTAGGTTTAAATCTAATTATATGCCACTGTCACCACAAGAATCCTAATGGCGACTAACTGGAAGAGTGATAAAATCCCTTTCAGGTCAGAATGGTTACAAAAATTAGTTGAATATGCTAGCCAAATTAACTGAAAAATGAAAGATAATTCAAAACAAGTATTTACAGTGGTAACTCTGGTTATGAATGCTCCTGGTTATGCACGCTTCGGGTTATGAACTCCTCTAACCTGGAAGTAGTTGCTACTGGTTGTGAACTTTGCCCCAGGATGCAAGTCGAAGTCGCGCGTCAGAGGCGTGCGCACAGTGGGAGGTGCCATTAGCAAAAGTGCGCCTCAGGATAAGAACGGACCTCCGGAACGGGTTACGTTCGTAACCAGAGGTACCATTGTATTGCAAAATGGGAAGTTTTTTAAAACATATCTTAAGAACAGTTGTTGCAGTTTGAACTCGGTCATAGCCTTTGAATATCCTCTGTAGCTATATTAAGCAAGAAATAAGGATATAGGAGAAATAATACTTTATTATAAAAGGAATGGATATGTTTATGCAATAAGTTAGTAAATACTAAGTGAAGTTTGGAGACGACAGGAAGTTAGCTGTGCACTAAGATTTATTGTCAGAATATATGAGTTTTGGGGTTTTTTGGTTTTGTTGTTGTTGTGAACTTTGTTTCCCTTGTCACAAACGACATAAATGTACAACTTTTTTGTCGTTGTATATATATATGGTATTCAGAAAAGGTATGCAATTGATCTTTAATGCAGAAAATAGAAAAAAAGGAAAAGTTTTCTTTTTAAAAGATGTTTTGTAGAGGAAAGGTGGGCATTATTTGACAGGGCAATTGGGGAATTTAATAAATAAGTAATAATAAAAATTGCAGAAGTGCACATTTCAAAGGATGGCTGTGTTTGAATTTGCATATTAGACAATTTCATGTTGAAATGTCAACTTACTTGAATGTCCGTCCCCCCCGCCATATTCTCTACCCATCCCCACCTCCTGCAAAAAGACCACTCACTTGTTCCAGGAGGAGTCCTGGGATTATTCCCAGTTTTGGAATGAAGTCTGGGAGCTGGAAAATATATTGAGCAATGTTTTTCTTTCACATGTTCAGCTAGGGATAATTCCCAGAACCAGTTGTTGTGAGATTCAGGAGAAGCTGCAAACACCTTCCTTCTTCTCAGTTAGACTCAAAGTAATATGCTAGCCCTGAAGGATTATGCAGATTATTAAAGTGCTAATGCAAAACATGAAACATGTGACCAAGCTTCCTCATGGTAATGACAGCATTTTTGCTATCTTTCCTTTAGTTGTATGAAATATTCCCATGGTTCATGAAACATCTCCCAGGGCCCCACAAGAAGGCCTTGTCCTGCATGGAGATGGTAGTTTCATTTGCAAAGGAGGAGATAGAGAAGCATAAGGAGAATCAGTCTCTGCATGATCCACAGGATTTCATTGATTTCTATCTACTTGAGATGGAGAAAGTAAGTACCTGCTTTGAAACTGGATCCTGCTCATCCAAAGAATCATTATATTCCGTCCTACATGTGAATACTAATGTCTTGCCAAGACACCAATATTTTTATTCTGAATCTCAGCTGAAAAGCACATCGAGTTTCGCCAAATTTCCCTCATAGTCATTTTAGTTGCTAAAGTAGGTTGACTTCCATCCATAAATATCTATTGAAATGGGTAGGAAATGCCAGATATTTCCATAACCCCAAATGTAAGTGTGAATGAGTGGAAATTTATGTGTGTCAATTAAGGGGTCTTCCCTTTGGAGCATTGCTTCTGTGCATAAATTATTCTGGATTGGTGTTCATCTCGCATTCAAACATGGGCAGAGACAACAGGAAAGCTCTACTGGTTCAGTGGTTTCATTTTTTATCTCACTTTTCTTCAGTGGAGGATGTGTTGGTGCATAGTTCTAACTCATGCTATCCTTTGCAGGAATGTATACAATCCCCCCTGTGTGCCTTGTGGCCTCAATCTGTGGCTCTCAATTCAGGCCAATTTTCTGTAGGCCACCCCGGGGACCACCTGTTCCGGATCCATCCATGAAGCAATTTAGTGGGTGGGGCTAAGGCTTTTAAAATGTTTATTTTAAAACAACAACAACAACAACAACAGTATTATAACAAACTGTTCAAACGAGGTTTAAAAAGAAGGTTGGGAGGGGTGAAATTGCTAACAGCCTTGGGCAGTGGAGTGCCAACAGGAGACATCCCTGTTGATGCACCACCTACTGTATTTTTCGCTCTATAAGACGCACCCGACCATAAGATGCACCTAGTTTTTAGAGGAGGAAAACAAGAAAAAATATATATTCTGAATCAAATGTTGTTGAAGAGCGTTTGTGCGGCTATCCCTCTTGCTGTTCTAGCTTCAGCAAAAGCAACGCAAAGCCTCCCAAAGCTTCCCGGGGCTGCAGGAGGAAGCCCCGGCTGCTGGCAGAGCAGTGCGACTCCCACCCCCACCCCCAAAGAGCAGCTCAGGAGCACGGGGCATCTGCGCACAGCCTGCCCGCTCTTCCCAAAGCTTCCCGGGGCTGCAGGGGGAAGTGGAGGCTGCCAGCAGAGCAGCGCGGCTCCCCACCCCCAAAGAGCAGCCAGGAGCGTGCCACACTCTGGCAATTTGGCTCCAGGGACCACACATTCGCTCCATAAGACGCACAGACATTTCCCCTTACTTTTTAAGAGGAAAAAAGTGCGTCTTATGGAGCGAATGTGTGGTCCCTGGAGCCAAATTGCCGGAGTCCACCACTGGTGAAGAAGCAGTGCTGGCAGTGGTGGCAGCTTCGGTGAGGTTTCATCAAAAACTCACAGGAACTTACTGGATACCACTGTTGCTGCTGTCACTTTGCAGGCACTGCTATGCAATGCAGGTAAGGGAGGAAGCAGCAGCATCAGGGCAGTGGTGGTGGCACCTTCCCATTTCACTTCAGGTGGTGTGATGGGACCTTTGACCCCTTATTATGCATTTCCTGGTGGTATGGTAATAAATGGGTGAAAGTAGATAAAATAAGTGCTGAAGGACAGGTTGTATTGCATGTAAATGACATGTCACCTTTCCTATTTTCAACATCAGAGCAGGAATGACCCAGAGTCTGTCTATGATGAAGAAAGCATGGCTCAGTGTATCTTTGACCTCTTTATAGCAGGGTCAGACACAACCACCATTTCTCTGAAATGGGCGCTTCTCCTCCTGGCAAGTCATCCAGATATCCAAGGTGAGAGAGGGAGCTATGGGAGCCTGGGCTTCTCTTGACCTCTTGACAGTGGACTGTAATTCTTTAAAGGTTTCATTCATATCTGATGTTGTGCTAAAACAAGGAACTTAAAGGAATGGAAATAGTTAAAAGCTAGTGAGTTTATGATGGAAGTTTTGGAAGACAAAGGGTTATCAAAATAAGTTAAATGCTTTTGACTTACTCATCTAGAAAGAACCCTTTTTCCCACCAACATTTTCCTACATAGTTTCTGGAACCTAAAATCAAGGTCAACAGAAGCAGAAATGTAAAATGCCCTGAATGCCCTGTCCCCATAGGAAGCTTCCAATCTATTATTACTGGGCCAGGAAGAGATGGAGGGTCTGAATGTGTAAGAAAGTTGGAACAGGAGGCAGTTGTGGGTAGTGGATGAAGCTAAGTGAGTCAATGAAAGTTTTTCTGAAGGAGAGGAATGGCTGTGCAAATAGAGGGAAGACAATTTGAAGATTGGGAAATGGCATGGCCAAAGGAAGGGAGAGAAAGATGCATAAAGAGGTCATTGTTTTTGCCAGGGGTATAGTGATGAATCCTGAAGTCCAGGTTCCTTCATGACAACCTGTAAGCCATACCCCTTCTAAAACTCTGCAACAAATATGAAATGTTAACTAATGCACAGATTATGACTTCAGTAACAAGCCACCTGTTTTCTTATGCTTCCCTTTGCTCAACATTCAGCCTGGAAGAGTTCTGCTGGGCTCACTCCCTCCCTCTTTGCATTTTCTTTGGCCATAATAAAAGGACTTTGGAATCTTTGGAAATATAAATGGCAGTTTAACACATAGCCAATGAAGCCACCTTTTCCTCTGCACAGTTTAGCGGGTGATTTTCTCTTTGAGAGAAGCTCATTTATTTGATATAAAGAGGCAGGGGTGCCAAATCAAATAAATTATTAGGGGGCAAGTAAGCCCCAGTCCACATTTGAATGGTAACATCCATCAACTTTGGGAGGTCCGGGCCCCTCAAATATTTTAGGGGGGAGAGCAAAGAGACCTCAACCTCTAACAGTTGGATCCCATGCAGAGGACTGGCCAAGAGATCTGCAGCAGATGCCATTATTATTATTATTATTATTATTATTATTTATTATTTATTATTTATACCCCGCCCATCTGGCTGGGTTTCCCCAGCCACTCTGGGCGGCTTCCAAAAGAATATTAAAATACTGTGATACACCAAACATTAAAAGCTTCCCTAAACATTGCCTCTGCTGTGAAATAAGTGCCTGAGCCCTTTCCCTGATTGATGTTTGCCAAGATCAAGTAAGGAAAAGAGGATTAATGAAAGAAAGTAGGAAATATTGTGGGGTGGAGGATATGTTTGTTTGTTTTTAAGTGTAAAACAGTTAGCCTAGGATCATAGCCCTACAGCCAGCTCTAGTAACCGGAAACAGCTGAGCGGAGGTTCACTTTCCCCTTTTTCACCCCTGGGATCTATAGTAGAGAAGAATCATGTACATTGACATGAGCTCCTTGGAGGAATAGGTGGGCTATAAATGTAAGAAACAGGGACTCAATCACAGAATCGTATGGAATAAGTTCATGGGAAATAAATGTCCATGGGGGGGGGGAATGCACTATTGAAAATAAACCATATGTTTCTATCATTCTCTTCAGATAAAGCCTACAAGGAGATAGAAGATGTCATAGGTTCTGCTCACTCAATCAGCTATCAAGATAAGAAGAAATTGCCCTACATCAATGCTGTGATTCATGAAACACAGCGCTTTAAATATGCCTTACTTTTTGGGGTTGTCAGGCAATGTACAGAGGATGTGAAGATTTGCGGTTTCCTCATTCCCAAGGTATAGAAGCATGATACAACTGCACTCCTGTATCCCAAGAACAAACAGAATCACTGGGCTGCAGCGTACTGAGTGTTGCAGGCAGCCATTCAGGAGCTTGTGTTGTCTAAAACCCGAAGAGCAAGAAAACCACACAAGAGCAGGAGTTCCATCTGCAGACTTGTTTCACCATTGGCTAGTGCTATTTTTTTTGGTCAGGAGTATAGTGTCAACAGTGTGATGCAGCATAAAAAAAAAAAAGCTAATGCTATACAAGGCTGCATCAACAGAAGTATAGTGTCCAGAAATAATAGTACTGCTCTATTCTACTTTGGTCAGACCACACGTGGAGTCCTGTGTCCAGTTCTGGGTACCACAGTTTAAGAAGGATATTGACAAGCTGGAACGTGTGCAGAGGAGGGTGAGCAAGAGTATAAAGGGTATGGAAATTACCGTATTTTTCGCTCTATAGGACGCACTTTTTCCCCTCCAAAAATGAAGGGGAAATGTGTGTGCGTCCTATGGAGCGAATGCAGGCTTTCCCGGGCTTCTTGCAGCTCCGCGCCACCCTCCGGATCCCGCGCGGGGCTCCGGAGGGTGGCGCGGAGCTGCCTGCGCCCCTGGGCTTTCTGCAGCTCCGCGCCACCCTCCCGATCCCGGCGCGAAGCCGCGCGGGGCTCCGGAGGGTGGCGCGGAGCTGCCTGCGCTCCAGGGCTTCTTGCAGCTCCGCGCCACCCTCCCGGGCGCGGCGCGAAGCCGCGCGGGGCTCCGGAGAGGGGAGCAGAGCTGCCTGCGCCCAGGGCTTCCTGCAGCTCCGCGCCCCCCGCCCGGCCCCGGCGCGAAGCCGCGCGGGGCTCCGGAGGGTGGCGCGGAGCTGCCTGCGCCCCAGGGCTTCCTGCACCTCCGCGCCACCCTCCCGATCCCGGCGTGAAGCTACGCGGGGCTCCGGAGGGTGGCGCGGAGCTGCCTGCGCCCCAGGGCTTCCTGCAGCTCCGCGCCACCCTCCCGGTCCCGGCGCGGCCGCGCGGGGCTCCGGAGGGTGGCGCGGAGCTGCCTGCGCTCCAGGGCTTCTGCAGCTCCGCGCCACCCTCCAGACCCCGCGCGCGGCCGCGCGGGGCTCCGGAGGGTGGCGCAGAGCTGCCTGCGCTCCAGGGCTCCTGCAGCTCCGCGCCACCCTCCCGGTCCCGGCGCGGCCGCGCGGGGCTCCGGAGGGTGGCGCGGAGCTGCCTGCGCCCAGGGCTTCCTGCAGCTCCGCGCCACCCTCCCGATCCCAGCGTGAAGCTGCGCGGGGCTCCGGAGGGTGGCGCGGAGCTGCCTGCGCGCCAGGGCTTCTTGCAGCTCCGCGCCACCCTCCAGACCCCGCGCGAGCCGCGCGGGGCTCCGGAGGGTGGCGCAGAGCGGCCGGCGCCCCCGGGCTTCCGGCCGCGCCGCGCCACCCTCCCGGTCCGGGCGCGACGCCGCGCGGGGCTCCGGAGGGTGGCGCGGAGCTGCCTGCGCCCAGGGCTTCCTGCAGCTCCGCGCCACCCTCCCGATCCCGGCGTGAAGCTACGCGGGGCTCCGGAGGGTGGCGCGGAGCTGCCTGCGCCCAGGGCTTCCTGCAGCTCCGCGCCACCCTCCCGGTCCCGGCGCGGCCGCGCGGGGCTCCGGAGGGTGGCGCGGAGCTGCCTGCGCCCCAGGGCTTCCTGCAGCTCCGCGCCACCCTCCCGGTCCCAGCGGGCAGCGACGCGGGGCGCCGGAGGGTGGCGCGGAGCGGGCTGCGCTCCAGGGCGTCTTGCAGCGCCGCGCCACCCTCCCGGTCCCGGCGCGGCCGCGCGGGGCTCCGGAGGGTGGCGCGGAGCTGCCTGCGCCCAGGGCTTCCTGCAGCTCCGCGCCACCCTCCCGATCCCGGCGCGAGCCGCGCGGGGCTCCGGAGGGTGGCGCGGAGCTGCCTGCGCTCCAGGTCTTCTTGCAGCTCCGCGCCACCCTCCCGGTCCCGGCGCGGCCGCGCGGGGCTCCGGAGGGTGGCGCGGAGCTGCCTGCGCCCAGGGCTTCCTGCAGCTCCGCGCCACCCTCCCGGTCCCGGCGCGAGCCGCGCGGGGCTCCCGAGGGTGGCGCGGAGCTGCCTGCGCCCCAGGGCTTCCTGCAGCTCCACGCCACCCTCCCGATCCCGGCGCGAAGCCGCGCGGGGCTCCGGAGGGTGGCGCGGAGCTGCCTGCGCCCCAGGGCTTCCTGCAGCTCCGCGCCACCCTCCCGGTCCCGGCGCGAAGCCGCGCGGGGCTACAGAGGGTGGCGCGGAGCTGGCTGCGCCCCAGGGCTTCCTGCAGCTCCGCGCCGCCCTCCCGGTCCCGGCGCGGCCGCGCGGGGCTCCGGAGGGTGGCGCAGAGCGGCCGGCGCTCCAGGGCTTCCTGCAGCTCCGCGCCACCCACCCGGTCCCGGCGCGAAGCCGCGCGGGGCTCGGGAGGGTGGCGCGGAGCTGCCTGCATTCCGAAGCCTGGTGCGCACTGAAGAGCGCGCCCGGGCTTCGCGCACCTCTCCACAAGCCTGGGGAGACCGGCTCGGTTCCCTAGGCTTGCAGATAGCAGGCTGTTCTGGGGGCTGGGGTCGGGGGAAGCTCGGGCTTCCCCCGCGCCTGCCCCGTGCCTGGGGAGGGAATTTTTTTTTTCTTTATTCCCCCCCCAAAAAAAAATTAGGTACCTTGAACGCACCTTGTTTTAGAGGGAGAGAACAAGAAAAAAAATTTCCCTGTTCTCCCCCTCCTATGATCCGGTGCGTCCTATGGTCCGGTGCGTCCAATGGTGCGAAAAATACGGTAAGCTTTATGAGGAACGATTGAGGAAGCTAGTTATGCTAAAGCCTGGGGGAAAGGGAGACTGAGAGGAGATATGATAGTCATCTTCAACTATCTGAAGGACTGTCACATGGAAAATAGAAAAAGCATGTTTTCTCATGCTCTAGAGGGCAGGACCTAAACCAATGGCTTCAAGTTCCGACAGAGCTGTTGTGGACTTTCCTTCATTGGAGATTTCAAAGCAGAGGTTCGATGGTCTTCTGTAATTTAAGCTTTAGTTGAGATTCCTGTATCGCAGGAGATTGGACTTGATGTCCTTTGGAGTCCTTCCAGCTCTAGAATTCTATCATTCATGTATCAAGGAGGGGAAAATATGGTGACCAGCAGTTTTCCTCTGGTTTTGGGTCTTCCCTTTTAAAAGACGGATGGAGAGAACGAGACCGTCCTTTCCCCTGCCCATACAGGCAGCTTTTAAATGGAAAAAAGTTGGAGATGAATCTGGCCACTGGTAAATGCCACTCTCCCCACAAAAACCCCACCCAGTTTAAATTCAGTTTGAATTTCACAAATATTATCCCTAGGGTAGTGAAGGACAATCCAGTGTTCTGAGTGCATTCCCTTTCAATTGTTTCTTCTTTGCAGGGGGCTACTATTATTCCCGATCTGCGTTCTGTTCTTCTTGATCCAACACGATGGGAGAAGCCAACAGAGTTCAACCCAAATCATTTTTTGGACAAGAACGGACAATATGTGGCTAGAGAAGAATACCTGCCATTTGGTGCAGGTAAATGCCAATGTCCAAGCTATGTTGTGATTTGTAGGCATGCTTATTGGGGAGATTCCAGGAAATGACAACAGCAGCAGCAAGGGAGGCAGAGCAGAAATAACATCCTTCTGGCAGGAGTAGCACTGCTGGGCATGTTTAGGCTAAAGCTACCCTACATCTTTTCCTGGGATGTAATTTAGCCTGGTCTGAAACCACACTCAGAACTGAGTCTGCAATGAAATTACCCTGCTTTCTACTTCTTTCATCCTGACCTCTATAGGAGATTGGGGTGTGTGCCAGTTTTCCGTTTTCAAAGAACAAAGGAGTATTTTTGTCCCGTATCTGTCAGGAGCTGGGTGTTTAATATCATCTGCCAAGTGTTGTAAAGTATTGTTCCTGCAGAAATTCAGCAGACATCCTCATTGCTAACTTCCAAACATCTCTTAACCTTTTTATACAAATAATTACAGTGGTACCTCGGGTTACATACGCTTCAGGTTTCACACTCCGCTAACCCAGAAATAGTGCTTCAGGTTAAGAACTTTGCTTCAGGATAAGAACAGAAATTGGGCTCTGGTGGCGCGGCGGCAGCAGGAGGCCCCATTAGCTAAAGTAGTGCTTCAGGTTAAGAACAGTTTCAGGTTAAGAACTGACCTCCAGAACAAATTAAGTACTTAACCCGAGGTACCACTGTATGCCTATTCAATTGTTGTAGATGATGTTTTAAAGTAAAGATGAGCCAGCCATTTTTGTATGATAATACAACATGGTTTTACAGGTTCTTCTGGTTGGTTGTCAGGGGGGAAAATAGGTATATAGAAAGGAGAATTCCAAGATCCAGGTTTGGGGCAAGTACTCTTTTGGTGAGAACACCCCAGCAAAGATTTTAAATCAAAAAATATGCAGCAAAGTAAAGTGTGGAAATATAGGCTGCTAGACCTTTAATATATGCCCTTGTGAGTTCTTTTCAAAAGTTCCCTCTTCCAAAGAAGAGGGAAAAGACCACACATTTGGTAAGTTTATAATGGTTCACATACAAACTCTCCAAAGGTCAGATTCCTTTGCTTTTCCACACAGCATTCAGAAAACATTGCACAGGCAGTAAAACTTCACTTAGTTACAGTGCTGAAAGTTCCTAAATTATTGGTATGAGCAGGGCTCTTTCCCAGCTGGAACTCACAGGAACTCAGTTCCAGCACCTGTCAGGTGGGCATCATTGCCATTATAAAAGGTATTTGTGGTAAGTTTTAGCACCTCTTTTTCTAGGAAAATAGCACTGGGTATAAAGACTTAAATATGGCTTGTAAGAGCCATGCAGTTTGAGCTTGGAGCACCAGCTCAGACCTCTTTTACAATGAACTTCTCAGGTGGGCTGGCGGAGAACAATAGGCCTGATTACCTGGGTCGATTCATAATGTACACTCAACTGCATTGTTAATGCTGGGCTTTGTTGAGCCATAATTCTCATATTACACTTAGAATCCCATCGTATTCTAAGACTATGTTGATGAAACAGTTGAAAGGCAAATTAAAGTGCCTAATTCATCTTAGAGATAATGAGTTTTCTACTTTTTCCATAAGACATCAAAGAGTTCTTTCACTGAGTCTTATAGTGTCACCTCTGTCTGACAGCAGCTCTCAGGCAGAGACTTTGTCTCAGCCCGGTTAGCTGTGACCCTACAACTAGACATTCTATGAGCTGCCCTTGGAATATTAAACTTGCAGATATTATATGGCGCTTTCCTTATTGTCCCTGCCCCCCAGCAATATACCCTTCCAAACATTTTATGTTGTTGGGTGGGAGGGAGGGAAGAGCAAATTCAGAGTACTATGATTTCTTTTTTTAAATAAAAAAAATGATTAGCCCTGTGCTGGACCTTCTTGCACAATGCAAGGTTAAGAAGAAGATTATTAAGAAGATTATTAAGCTCATAGAACATCACCCTTGGGGATTGTGCAGAGGCAGTTGAGTATTTTTTTTTTAAAGCCTTGCAGCTCTCTTTGTGTCAGTACCAAATAAACAAAGAAACCCAGAAACCTTGACACCGAAACCAGGGGTGCAAGCACAAGGAAATCAGCTTCTACAACCTCTACTCCCTCTCCTCCTATCTCTTTCAGTTTCTTTCAATCTGGGTTTGTGACTTATCCTGCTATTGCTCAGGGCAGTTGACCAAAGTTTGCCTCTCATAATCAACTATGAAATGTTGGCACTCAGCAGGCTAGGGAATTGACAACAGCCTTGATTATTTCCCTGTCCTAACTATGTCTAGTTCACCATAGTATTGTGTAGAGTACAAAGAAATGGACACTGGAAAGTAAATTATTGCTCACTTGCTGCTTTCCCCTTGTCTCCTCCGCAGGGTCTCGCATGTGTTTGGGAATGCAGCTGGCAAAGACTGAAATTCTCATCCTACTGACCAGCCTGCTGAGAATGTTCCGCTTCCAGCTGCCAGAAGGAGTTAAAGAAGTCAATATGGAGTCTATACCAGGGGGTACAGCACATCCCCATCCTTATAAACTCTGTGCTGTTCCCCGCTGCAAGGCGTAATAAAATAGGAAAGTTACGGGAAGCTGCACTCATGGTTCCTCCACTTGCCAAACTCTTTGCCATTCCTGACACATTAACCGCCTAGAGCTTCCCCTTCCCATCTCATGCAACTGCTGAGGTCTCAGTCGGTGGAAGAAGACTGGAAAAAGTTTAAAGACTATTTACAGAAATACTGTAAAATTAATGAATGTTAGAAAAATGTTGGAATGAAGTTATATGGCTTTAGTAGAAATGTTATAAGGAATTAAGTATAAATAGATTAATAGAGAATTAAAGGGAAAAATAAGGTTAGAATGTGTTAAGATAATTATAGGATAGAAAACAGAGGAAGATGGAAAGGAATTGCTGAAACAATTAACAAAAGTAGAATGCAAAAAGGGAGGTGTGAGGAGGTCGTGGAAATAAGTGAATGAAAGATAAGATATTGAAATTGTTTGATGTGTTTAACTGTTTTTGTTTTGTTTTGTTAGTTTAATGTGTTAGTGTTATGTAGTGTTTTTGTATTGTATTGTATTGTTTTTGTAGTGTTTAAATTGTTGGGAAAGTAATAAATATTATTTAAAAAACAAACAAACTGCTGAGGTCTCTTCTTTTTGCAGCTCTGCTTTGCACCCATTATCACCTTCATCCCATCTCCTGTTTTTCAGGCCCTTTCATGCCCCTGCTTTAATCTTCAACCCTATCCCCAAGCCTCCTACTCCCTCCTTTTTGCAACTTACTTTGCATCCCCATTTTTACTCTTACTCTCTTTTTTCCTCCACCCTCCTCGTCACTTTCCTCAACTCTCTCCTACACGCAGATCACTCCTCTTTCTGCACTTCCTTTTCTCTCCTGATTTAGCCACCCCCTTTCAACCCCCTCCATACTGATCATAGAACCAAAGAACTGTAGTGCTGGAAGGGACCCTGAGGGTCATCTGGTCCAACCCCCTACAATGCAGGAATCTCAGCTAAAGCATCCATGACAGGTGGCCATCCAACCTCTGCTTTAAAGCTTCCAATGAATGAGAGTCCACAACCTCCTGAGGGAGTCCATTCCACTAACAAACAGCTCTTTCTGTCAGAAAGTTCTTCCTGATGTTTACAGCATGTTATGGTCTTAGAGAAAATTATATGAAAAGGATAGATCGATGGAATCTGACAACAAGTAAATTGGCAAAAATGTATAAATCTAAATTAAATAAGTGTTGGAAGAGAAAGAAGGTTCTTTTCATCATATGTGGTGGTCTTGTAGTAAGGTTAAAACTTACTGGGAAATGATATATAATGAATTGAAAAAGATGTTTGTAATAACATTTGTAAAAACAACAACCCCCAGAAGCTTTTGGGAATTAGAAGGACATAACTTCCCAAATTGTACAGAAACTTATTCATGTATGCTACTACAGCAGCCCCCTTCATGGATCACTGCCTTGCCGTGGCGAAGGGACTTGAAGAACTCAGAGAAGCTATGAACTATGCCGAGCAGGGCACCCAAGATGAACAGGTCATAGTGGAGAGTTTTGACCAAACGTGATCCACCTGGAGTAGGAACCGGCAAGCCACTCCAGTATCCCTGCCAAGAAAACTCCATGGACAAAGACAACAGGCATATAAAAGTTATGACGCTGGAAGATGAGCCCCTCAGGTCGGAAGGTGTCCAACATGCTACTGGGGAAGAGCGGAGGACAAGTACAAGTAGATCCAGAGCTGATGAAGCGGCTGGGCCAAAGCCGAAAGGAAGCTCAGTTGTGGATATGCATGGAAGCGAAAGGAAAGTCCAATGCTGTAAAGAAAAATATTGCATAGGAACCTGGAATGTAAGAACCATGAACCTGGGTAAGTTGGATGTGGTCAAAAATGAGATGGCAAGAATAAATATTGACATCCTGGGCATCAGTGAGCTAAAATGGACGGGAATGGGCGAATTCAGTTCGGATGACTATCATATCTACTACTGTGGGCAAGAAATCCGTAAAAGAAATGGAGTGGCCCTCATAGTCAACAAAAGAGTGGCGAAAGCTGTACTGGGATGCAGTCTCAAAAATGATAGAATGATCTCGATACGAATCCAAGGCAGACCTTTTAACATCACAGTAATCCAAGTTTATGCACCAACCACTGGTGCTGAAGAAACTGAAATTGACCAATTCTATGAAGACTTACAAGGCCTTATAGAAGTGACACCAAAGAAGGATGTTCTTCTCATTATAGGGGATTGGAATGCTAAAGTAGGGAATCAAGAGATAAAAGGAACAACTGGCAAGTTTGGCCTTGGAGATCAAAATGAAGCAGGGCAAAGGCTAATGGAGTTCTGTCAAGAGAACAAGCTGGTCATCACAAACACGCTTTTCCAACAACACAAGAGACGACTCTACACATGGACATCACCAGACGGGCAACATCGAAATCAGATTGATTATATTCTCTGCAGCCAAAGATGGAGAAGCTCTATACAGTCAGCAAAAACAAGACCTGGAGCTGACTGTGGCTCAGATCATCAGCTTCTTATAGCAAAATTCAAGCTTAAACTGAAGAAAGTAGGAAAAACCACTGGGCCGGTAAGATACAATCTAAATCAAATCCCTTATGAATAAACAGTGGAAGTGAGGAACAGGTTTAAGGATTTAGATTTGCTGGACAGAGTGCCTGAAGAACTATGGGTGGAGGCTCGCAACATTATACAGGAGGCAGCAACTAAAACCATCCCAATGGAAAAGAAATGCAAGAAAGCAAAGTGGCTGTCCAACGAGGCCTTACAAATAGCGGGGAGAGAAGGCAAGCAAAATGCAAGGGAGATAGTGAAAGATACAGGAAATTGAATGCAGATTTCCAAAGAATAGCAAGGAGAGACAAGAAGGCCTTCTTAAACGAGCAATGCAAAGAAATAGAGGAAAACAACAGAATGGGAAGAACCAGAGATCTGTTCAAGAAAATCGGAAATATGAAAGGAACATTTCGTACAAAGATTACCATAATAAAGGACAAAAGTGGTAAAGACCTAACTGAAGCAGAAGACATCAAGAAGAGGTGGCAAGAATACACAGAGGAATTATACCAGAAAGATATGGATGTCTCGTACACCCCAGGTAGTGGGGTTGCTGACCTTGAGCCAGACATCCTGGAGAGTGAAGTCAAATGGGCCTTAGAAAGCACTGCAAATAACAAGGCCAGTGGAAGTGATGGTATTCCAGCTGAACTATTTAAAATTTTAAAAGATGATGCTGTTAAGGTGCTACACTCAATATGCCAGCAAGTTTGGAAAACTCAGCAGTGGCCAGAGGATTGGAGAAGATCAGTCTACATCCCAATCCCAAAGAAAGGCAGTGCCAAAGAATGCTCAAACTACCGCACAATTTCACTCATTTCACATGCTAGCAAGGTTATGCTTAAAATTCTACAAGGAAGGCTCAAGCAGTATGTGGACCGAGAACTCCCAGAAGTGCAAGCTGGATTTAGAAGAGGCAGAGGAACCAGAGACCAAATTGCAAACATGCGCTGGATTATGGAGAAAGCTAGAGAGTTCCAGAAAGACATCTACTTCTGCTTCATTGACTATGCAAAAGCCTTTGACTGTGTCGACCACAGCAAACTATGGCAAGTTCTTAAAGAAATGGGAGTGCCTGATCACCTCATCTGTCTCCTGAGAAATCTCTATGTGGGACAAGAAGCTACAGTTAGAACTGGATATGGAACAACTGATTGGTTCAAAATTGAGAAAGGAGTACGGCAAGGCTGTATATTGTCTCCCTGCTTATTTAACTTATATGCAGAATTCATCATGCGAAAGGCTGGGCTGGATGAATCCCAAGCTGGAATTAAGATTGCTGGAAGAAATATCAACAACCTCAGATATGCAGATGACACAACCTTGATGGCAGAAAGTGAAGAGGAATTAAAGAAACTTTTAATGAGGGTGAAAGAGCAGAGCGCAAAATATGGTCTGAAGCTCAACATCAAAAAAAACGAAGATCATGGCCACTGGGCCCATCACCTCCTGGCAAATAGAAGGGGAAGAAATGGAGGCAGTGAGAGATTTTACTTTCTTGGGCTCCATGATCACTGCAGATGGTGACAGCAGTCACGAAATTAAAAGACGCCTGCTCCTTGGGAGAAAGGCGATGGCAAACCTAGACAACATCTTAAAAAGCAGAGACATCACCTTGCCAACAAAGGTCTGTATGGTAAAGGCCATGGTTTTCCCAGTAGTGATGTATGGAAGTGAGAGCTGGACCATAAAGAAGGCTGATCGCCGAAGAATTGATGCTTTTGAATTATGGTGCTGGAGGAGACTCTTGAGAGTCCCATGGACTGCAAGAAGATCAAACCTCTCCATTCTGAAGGAAATCAGCCCTGAGTGCTCACTGGAAGGACAGATCGTGAAGCTGAGGCTCCAATACTTTGGCCACCTCATGAGAAGAGAAGACTCCCTGGAAAAGACCCTGATGTTGGGAAAGATGGAGGGCACAAGGAGAAGGGGACGACAGAGAATGAGATGGTTGGATGGTGTTCTTGAAGCTACCAGCATGAGTTTGATCAAACTGCGGGAGGCAGTGGAGGACAGAAGTGCCTGGCGTGCTCTGGTCCATGGGGTCACGAAGAGTCGGACACGACTAAACGACTAAACAACAACAACAACTACAGCAGCAAGAATGCCCCCAAATGGAAAGAAGCAGAAGTTCCATCAGAAGAAGAATGGATTCAAAAGCTTATAAAATATGCAGAAATGGCAAAACATACCAGAAAAATAAGAAATCAAGATAACAAACTTTTTATAAAAGAATCGAAATGATTTATTGAATATTTACAGACAAATTGTAAACAGATCGGAACATTGTAATAACCTGCAGTTTCATAAGAGTATATATTTAAAGTAGATGAATAAATTAACAAAAACAATAGTTAACAAACTTTTCTACCTCTCTTGCACCTGCGATACATTGACGATATTTTTATTATCTGGACAGCAGACCCTGGACACCTTCCACCAGTCATTCAATAACTTTCACCCCACCATCAACC